CTACTATGTGCCAGGCACTGTGCTAAGTTTATAAATTTTATATATTTTATAAGTCTTATAAATATTATCTCATTTTGATCCTCACAATAACCCTAAGTGGTAAGTGCTATTATTATGCCCATGTTACAGTTGAGGAAACTGATGTTAAGTGACTTATCTAGGATCACACAGCTAGTGAGTGTCTGGGGCTGGATTTAAACTCGGGACTTTATGACTGCAAATCTAGTGCTCTATTCACTGCTCCACCTAGTAGCCAAAAAAAACGACCAAACAAACAAACAAAAAAAAAAAACCCTGATCATCCAGCCTCTGCTTGAGACTTCAGTAAGGGAAATCTACTACCTACAACCCATTTCACTTTTGGACAGCTTTAATGGTTAAGAAATTTTCCTGATATCTGCCCTAAATTTGCATTGTGGTAGTTTCCACCCATTGTTCCTGGTTCTGCCCTCTGGCGCTAAGCAAAGCAAGGCTAATCCCTCTTCTTTAGGATAGCTTTTCAAAAAGATAAAGGCACCATCATGTTCCCCTTGAATCTTCTCTATTCTGGGCTAAGCGTCCCCATATAACTGGTCCCCACCTCACTGTCCCCGTATTCTACTTAATGGAGAAGCTCTTCTGAATGTCTAGATCTCAGAAAGCCAAATCCAGGAGGATAAACCACCCTTATAAAGCCAATATTAGCAGACGCAGTAGTCAAGATCAGAAAAACTAGTTACATTTCTTCTCCAAAGTATCTATCCAAAAAGACAGAAGAGCTGAGAAAAAATCTTCAGGATTGAGCAGTTAGTGCCACCCAGTGGACTGAATTAGGATGACAGCTATGGCCACTCAGTAGAGCTCAGATTCTCTGTTGGAGCAGTGTCCTATAATCTCAGGGCAGGAAGTTCTCCAACATCCCTGACAAGGTTATCTAGCCTCCACTTAACCTCCAGTGAGCAGAACTCAAGACCTGTCATGGCAGCCCAATCCAATTTTGGACAGTTCTCTGACATCAAGCATAAATCAACTTCTTTGCAGCCTCTACCCATTAGTTCTGCACTCTGGTGCCAAGGCGGACACATTTAAGTCTCTTTTCCTTCAAATAGGCAGGTCTCATGTCATTCGCCAACCCCCACTGGACATATTCAAGGCAATGTCTTTAAGACATGCCCCCCACAAGTGAACCCAAGACTCCAACTCCTGAGCCTCTCGGCAATGGCTTTGCCAGGGATGGCCTGACCCACTCTGAGATCCATTTGCTAACTGTTGTTCTTCCCTACTAGTATGTTTTTTAAAAGATAGGAACTGAGTAAAGTATGACTAGGCAGCAGCTTCTCTGAAAAAACTGGGAATTTTAAAGGCCTCCAAGTTCCATATAACACACCAATGTGAGCTGTATTCCATACCTCTTTCCTCATCAATAAAATGGAGGATATAGTAAATAGCACATCCCTTACCTGGTTGGTGTGAGGCTAAAGTGAGATCATGTAGCTCAAACAATTTGCAAATGGCAAAGTGACATATAAAGGTCTGTTATTCTTCTCACCAACACCAACTCCTCATCTTTTTTTAGTTCTTGCCACAGATAAGTAGCCTTGCCTTACCTGCTTCTTCTCTTTTTCCCTCCAAGTTGGAGAAAAGGAGCCTGTTTGAGGACAGGAGCAGGGCTGGGCATTATGCAAACTCCGATGAGGAGGAAGAAGATGGCTATGACTCACCAGACATCAAAAGGAGAGGAGCTTCGGTGGATGATTTTCTGAAGGGTTCTGAGCTTGGCAAACAGGTAATTGGCAGCCCATGTAGCTGGCAGTGGCCAGTTCTTAATGATTCCCATGTGGTGGCAGTGACCTAGCCACTGCCTGGGAAGTTGAATTTTACTATTTATCTCCAAGGTGTCATTTTAGCCAGAGAATTCAACTCTCCCCACCAAAACCTCTGATAGGAGGTGCTTAATAATACTTATTGAACTCACTTGCAAAGGTAGAGAATATGGACCCTGACCTCTCTCCTATGGATAGGTCCTTTTCTTATTTATTATTTGGAATTGTCCATTCATTAACCTGAAACAAAGGTTCTTAACCCTTTTTATATCATGTACTCTTTAATAAAGCCTGTGGATCCCTTCTCAGAATAATGTTTTTAAATATATAAAATAAAATACCTAGACAGCCAGTCAATAAATGTTTATTTAGCACCCACTATGGACCAGGCACTGTGCAAAGTCCTGGGGATACAAGGAAAGGCAAAAGACAGTCCCTGATCTCAAGGAGCTCACATTTTAGTGGATTACAAATTAGACGGGTTATGTAGTATTACAGAAGGGCAGCAAGGTCTGGAAAGTCAGGAAGACTCTTCTTCCTGAGTTCAAACCTGATCCCTGAAAAAAAAAACAAACAAACAAACAAAAAAAAAATCAGTGTGGTGCAGTGAAGCCAGGGGAAAATGGCTAGATCTGGAGTTGAGGGGCCTGGGTCTGAATCCTGACTTGGATCCTTGTGTCTATATGCACTCCTCTCTCTTCTTTCTTCCTCTATAAAATGGAGGTGGGGAGACTAGATCATAGGAACCTAGATCCAGAACTGGGAGGGTCCTCAGAGGCCATCTAATCCAATCCTCTCACTTTATAGATGAGGAAACCGAGGCCCAGAGAGATTGTGACTTGCCCTCAGTCCCATGGGTTGTAAGCATCAGAGGCAAGATTTGAACCCAGGTCCTTTGACTCCAGTACTGTGGTCTCTTCATTGATGATGTCTAAGTGACTTTTCAGCTCTAAATCCTAAAAGATTTAGGTTTTTAGAGAAACCTCAGCACCCTGTATGAAGAGAGAGGTGCTATGGAGAAAGCCAAGGTCCCATTGTCAGTAAGTATCCTATTCTCTTAACTCTGCTCCTGCAGTCACACTATGGTCATGGAGAGGAATACCACACAGAGAGCAGCCGGGGCTCCGACCTGTCTGACATTATGGAAGAGGATGAGGAGGAACTTTATTCAGAAATGCAGCTGGAGGATGGGGGCAGGAGACGGTCCAGTGGAACCCCGCACAACACGCTCAAGGTCAGTGGCCAGAAGCAGGTCTAACTAAGACTGGGTCTCTCTCTCACTGGGCCATCTCTCCTCCTTTTGTCCCTTTGGTCAGCTCAGGCACCCCAGTTCTAGATGGTCCCACAAATTTCACATGTAAAATGCTTAGTCTTGAGTCAGCTTCTTTCTTTCTATTGACCTAACACCAGGATATCTCTGCCTCACTTCATCAGTAATTCCCCTTTGGGCCATGGGAGTGGCAGGGGGAAAGCCAATGCAATTGAACCTGGCAGGTATTTCTCAGTCACCTTCTATGTGCCCAGCTAGAGTTGCAGTGAGGTATAACACATAACTCTGTGAGTTATCTTTGTAGTTGGAGAAATAAGGTGGAGAGATTTAGTTATACCATTCTTTTGGTCAAAAATTTTCAATTGCTCCCTATTGCCTATCAAAGATGGTTCAAACTTCTTTCCTTGGAATTCAAGGCTTTCCACACCCTTCCAGCCTTATCTTGTATTCCTGACCCCCACATACTTTACAGTCTATTCTCTGTCTGAGCACACACCATATTTTCCCACCTTTGTGTACCCTCTTCTCTGACTGGAATGCCCTTCTACCCTCTCTTTGTCTGCTGGATTCCTACCCACCCTAAAAGTTGAGTGCACATTCCACCTCCTCCTTGAAACCTTCCTTGACTTCACACACACACACACACACACACACACACACACACACACACACACACACATACATTCCCGTGACTAATAAGCTTTCCCCCTTGGTCCTCACAGAATATTTTGCTGTGTACTTCATGCACGCACTTCAGTGAATTCAGAGTGTACTAAGGATAGGGATGGAAACTGGATCTGTGATTTCAGCAGTATGAGGAGCTCTCAGATGAAGAAACTCCTTCTATCAATGCAGAGTGACACCTTTTCTGCAACTTAGAATCTTAGAGAGGATCTAGAGCACTGAAGGTAAAATGAGAAGTTGAAAATAAAAGCCCAGGATTGCACAATCAAGTGTGTGTCAGAGGTGAGACTTGAACCTAAGTCTTCCTGACTCCAAGACTGGTTTTCTATCCACAGTAGGAGAGAAAAGACTAAACGAGTAATGAAAGCCTCAGTTTAAGAAGGAGGAACGTTGTCCTTTGGGACAATTACCTTTGGGTAAAGAGGAATCAATGCCAGGGAACCATGTGTTGGAGGGAGGGGAGAATAAATGTATCAAGAGCTGGCCTAGGTGCTAGCTAAGAGCTAGGTCTGGCTTTGAAACTCAGTCAGTCACTTAATCCTCTGAGGATGCCAGGTGACTCTCTAAGATCATCAGTTGCAGAGCAAGTTCTGATCAGCATTGACAGAGGGAGTTCCCTCCCTAAACTAAGGAAAATTCCCACACTTGTGAACTCATAGGTCCAAAAAAAAAGAAAAATAATCTTACAAATGGGAGATGGCCCTTTGTTCCTCCCCTCACCCACATCAGAATAGATAGAACTACTTTCTTTCCTCCTTCCTTGGAGCTGCCCTGCCCTTATTTCAACAGTTTAAGAGTGTGTCATCTCTGGGCGAGATTGCAGAGAATTTTTGTCCAGTATGTGGAAACCTTGCCCTTGCCCTCAGTAAAGCTCACTGAATTCCTGTTTCTCCAGTGCGAATCTATTAGCCATGCACTGGTTCGTGTGGTTTGGACGGAAATCACCAAACCCATCATCTCAATTTGGCTACCAAATCAGTGATGCCTTGCATAGACACAGACCTGACACAGGTTCTTCCAAAGTGATATGACTAGATCCTAAAAACCTTCCTCTCCCATGGACCTTGCACTTTGATAGCCCTACTGCTACTACTTTCATAGACTCCCATGCCTCCTGACCTTTGAGAGTAACAGTATCAAATCCTATCTTCAGTGGGCTTCTTATCTCCTACTGGTGGTTCCTATTGCCCCAGATTCTCAGAACTAGAAGGGACCTTAGAGGTCAGCAAACTCACCTGCAATTAAAGTCAGTGAGCATTCATTAAGCACCTACTTATTAAACATCAAGCACCAACTAAAATGGAATAGTACTGCCCTCAAGGAGCTTACATTCTGCCAGGAATTCTTTCTGCAACCTCCATGGCAAAAGGACTGTAGGAACAAAAATCCAATATCTTTATACCTTGCTTTGATCTTCATTCATTTAGCCAGTGCTGACATGGTCCTCCATGACTAAATCCCATGAAAGTTAAAAGACAAAGCAATGGGAAATGAGAATTCTTCAGTTGGGGGTAAGGGGGGATTATGAAATTGTTTTACATTAAGAATGGTTCTAAAAAAAAAAAGAATGGTTCTAAAGCAATAAACCCAGTGGCCAAAGTTCAAATCTCACTGGGACCTTTTGGGTTCCCCTTTACTAGAGGTCTTCAAGAGGGGTATGAATAACAATGGACCAAATTTGGAATCAAGGGAATTGGATTAAAATCCCAACTCTACTACTTGTTATTTGTGTGTCCTTGGGCAAGTCACTTAACTTTCTCTGGGTCTCAGCATCTTCATTTGTAAGATGAGGGGGTTGGGTAGATGACCTCTAAGGTGCCTTTCCAGTCCTAAATCATCAGTTGTACAGTTCAACAATTCAATCCAACAGCATTTGCCACACATTGACCATGGGACAGGCATTGTGCTAGGCACTGGGGACACAAAGACAAAGACTCAACAGCCCCTGCCCTTAAGGAGCTTACATTCTATTGTGGGGATGATGGTATACTAGATTGAGTTCTGTTTCCACCTGGGCTGGTCTAGATGAACTCTAAAGTTCCTCCCAGGTCTGATATATGATGATTCTTCCATCCTCCCAAACCATGTGGTACACCCTCCTTATTGACTGACCCGAGCAATCTGCACTTCTGTCCCTGGTGAGCACAGAAGTTCTTTCAATAAGAGCTTTTTGCAACCCAACAGTGCCCCTAGTTTTTCTCTGCTTTTGTGCAAATGGCACCTGATGATTTTTTCGCACACTTTTCTTGATACCCTTCTTGCCCAATTATTCCATGTGTATCTTGTATCCAATTGAGCAATGCTACTTCTCCACCCAACAGGTCTCTCAATGATGATAAAATACATCAATCTCTAAGGACTCCTAAGGAAAGAAATGAATTACCGCCCTCCCTCCAGGGGGGAAATATTGTGGTGCCCCTATAAGAGAAAGCCAATGGAATCTTTACTTCTCCCTCTCCCTTCAAATCATCCTCAGGTCCCACACACAAAGGGACCCATCCCCACTATACTGAGATGTGCTCTCCAGTACATGGAGGTACTTTGCATGTTTAACAGACAAATTCACTCTCATTTACTATCTGAGAAACAGCTACATGGAATGTTCCCTCCAGCTGCTCCTCTCCGAATATGCATCCCTTCTCACTAGCTGGTATGTATTCTGTTCCTCGGGGGTGGCTGGTATCTAGGAACAGGATTTGATTGAGGGCTTGATATCAGATCGAAGCCCACAGGCGTCTTGGTTGGGTGAAGTTTTCAGCTCAGGGGTAAAAGAACTTCTGGTGTCATCTTGTCATTAGCAGGTAGGGGTCCCCCATCACAGTGTGGGGTACCATCCTGGGAATACTTCCCCTGTGGCAGGTGCCTTTTGCCAATAAGAAATGGTACTAAGTAAAGCTTGTCCCAACCAACAAGACACATGGCCAGCAACCTACATAGGCTGAGATGCAAGCCCCCATTCATGGTGGATTCCAAACACACATGGTCTAGGGAAAAGCAGGACAGACAATGTAATTCCTAGACACTACTCCGTCAGCATGGAAAACACAGAACACTCTGTCTTAGGCACTGAGTTTGGAACCATCCTTAGCTCTGATCCCCATAGAACCTAGAACATCTCCCTCATCCAACCCCTCTCTCTAAGATACTCCTTTTGATTTTCTCTCTTTCTCTCTTTTTTTCCTCTCTTTTAATGGGCTGCTTTGGCGCCTTCCTCTTCAAGCATCAGTATGCCTGCTCTCTGTTTGTACTGTGATCTCCTGCCTTCTCTCCAACACTCTCAACATGTCTTTATTTTCAGAGAATCATCCAGAGCCTGCCATTCCCCCTTCACTGAGTAAGCCGCATGCCTTCCGTTTGTCATCAAGTCTAAAACTAATTCTGTCTTTATTTTTCTTTCCTTTCCTTTTTTGGCCTCATTTTCTGTTTTCTCATTCACTTTTTCTTCTGCACCTATTCTCCTGTTTTGTTCTTTTTTTGGTTTAACATCCCATACTACTCAAGGAGTGCTGTGATAGTAGGAGCACCACCGATGCTGCTTTTTGGGAACAGCCCGAATTTCCCCAACAGACCCGCCACAGTAAAAAACTCTTTAGTATCCCAGAAGTAGCCGAAGAGGATGGAGACTATTCTGAGATGCTGCACAGACAAGGTTTAGGGTTGTCCTATAAGGTGAAAGCCTCAGGGCCCAGAGGGCCTAGGTTCCCCAGGTGCTGCATTGAAGATAAGGCCCAACAGGCCACCTGGTTCCCCACCAAGCATAGGCTCTCTGGGTTTGCCCACCACTCAGACGACTCCGCCCCTGAAGATAAGGGTTACAGACTTAGCGGGGCCCTCACCCGGAGCCCAGACAGCGGGCTTGACTGCGGGAGTGAGGAAGAGGAGTCTCGGTTTAGTTTCCGAAATGTTCACGGTCATCCATCCCCTCACGCCGGTCCCCCCTGCTGCCCAGGCCGCAGCCACTGTTCATGCCAGAGAAGTCCCAGGCCCCTTCTGGCCCGTAGGAAAACACTGACCCGGCAGACCAGCATTGAGGAAGACTTTGGAGAGCAGTTTGCCCCTGGTGAGGTCATCAGAAAGAATGATACCACCCCTGGCCCCGAGAGGACTAGCCCCAGGAAGAGTCACTACAGTGATTCCATGAAGCCAGAAGACCCTTGCTGTGCCTGGAAGGTCCAGATGAGTGACAGCGGGACGCCTGTCCCGCTTACAAAATCAGCTCCCAGAGATGGAGAAGGCTCTTTGGTGTGTGAAGTAAATCCTCCCTTCTACCATCTGCTTGCCAATCCAATCGGTTTTCTTTCTTTCTTCCTTTGATTTCCTGGTGCCCATCTTTGGGAACTTTCTCCACTGGCTCTCCTTTCATTCTTCATGCGTTTTTTTTAATTTCCTTAGCCTCATCATTTTGCAGGCTTCTTACCATGCTCAAGACCTCCTTACTTTGCTTATAATGATGATTTTCCCACAGAACAAATCACAATAATGGCTGCTTTTATTAAAGGACAACTGAATCTAAATTTTAATTAAGGGTTAGCTGAACTAGAATTAACGGAAAGTTTGGCTTTCTTGGGGCTTCCCCTCCCCCTCCTCAATACACTCATCACCATTGTTATGACTGCTGCTGCTGACAAGATCATTGTGGATTAAAGTATTTGGCTTTTATTCTTTGACTTTAAAACAAAATTGAAGGGAAGAGTTCATAAATGAGACTATGTTTTGCTTCTAGACTGCCTTACCCTTCCTGCCACCCAGATTCAAGGATGAATTTTCTATCCCTTGCCAGCCTTGGTGCTCAATACCTAAGACAATTCTCTAACCTGTTCCCTGGAGCTAAGCTACTAGCATTTAAAGAGTAGGTGTTCAATAATAATAATAATAATAATAATAATAACTGGCATTCGTATTGTGCCTTAAAACTTGAAAAGCACATTTTAGACACTATTTCATTTGAGCTCACAATAATTCTATGTCGTATAGGTAGTCCGGATATTATTACCTCCATATTACAGGTAAGGAAATTGAGGCTCAGAGAAATTAAGTGATTTCATAGGATCAGATACCTAGAGCTGGAAGGAACCTTGGAAGTCATTGAACCCAGCCCCTTCATTTTATACATAAGGAAAGAGAGGCACAGATAGGTTAAACAACATGACCAGAGTCACACAGTGGGTGTCAGAGGTGGTATTTGAACCCAGCTCTTCCTGAGAGCAAATCTAGCATTCTATTCACTATACCGAGTTGGTTCCCATACATCTCTAATTTGCACCCTCTTTTCAGATCACCCCCTCCTATATCCTGTACTTTGGAATGGAAATGCAGGTGAAGCTTTGAACTGGTTAGCATGAACCTTCACCCAGCTTCATTCATCTATCCCATCCCACCCCACCCCCACGCCTGAGTTGGTGCAATCCATTATGTTTCTGCAAGTGGGCACTAAATATGAGACCATCACCAAGCAAGGATTTCACCACCAGTCCAGGAAGCCTCAAGGTTTTAACCTTTACACCCAGGAGTCCTTGTCCACAGCTGGGGAAGCATAGTATTGAATATACTCTCCCTTTGTTCATCATAAGCTCTTTTATTCAAATCAGTATCACAAAACATTACAAATCTTTTTTTTTTCTTTTTCCTCGGAATAATTGCAGGTTTTCATCTAAATGAGCAGTAAACTGACCCAAGAATTCCCCTTAGTTTGCCATAAGTCACTGAGGTTTGTTTTAGAGCAGTGCATAGAAAGAGCTAGGCTCACGCAATCTGAACATACAAAAGAAATTCCAGTCCATAGGTTTTTATTACCCTCACACAGGCAGCTATGCTCCAAGGAGTACATTTGGAAAATTCTGAATTTTTAAGACTATAGAATGTTAGATGTGGAAAGAACCCTAGAGATGAATGGATGATTGGATCATAGCTCTACAAATAAAAGAGATTATAGAGGTCATAGTGTCCTACCTCCTTATTTTTAAAAAGAGGAAACTGAGGACCAGAGAAAGAGAGGAACTTGCTACAAGGTTAATGGCAGAGATAGGACTGGAACCCAGTTCTCCTGCCTTCTAGTTTAGGGCTCTTTCCATTACCCCATACTGCCTGAGTAGAAAGAGATGAGACCCATTGAAATACATCTCTTGGCTGCACACAGTAACAACTTATATGGCACCTTAGGTTTCAAACTCTAGAGGGAAGACCTCTGTTGTCTTTAAAGGAATGATAAATTGTGTTTTATTCTGCCAGAATATAAGCCTTTGCAACTTATGTTCAAATTCTTTATGGACAGCAAGAGCAGACCCAAAACACGGCACCCAAGTGAATCATTTTGTGCAACACGTCCAAACATGACTTGATTGGAGATTGACCTTGGTCTGCTTCTCTTCCAGGTGCTTCAGCTAACCTTTCAGTTAAAAGCTAAGTTTAGTTGCCTTTAGAGCTTCTGCTCCCCAACCGAAATGATCTTTGCAAATGTCCTTGAGCTCAATGATGGTGAAACATGTGACTCTGTTGTGTTGTTTTGTCTTCAGCTTTTAGGAAACCCAGCGTCTGCCGGACGGACTGATAGGGTGGATCACCCGGGTCGAAGGTTATCACATGGCAGTGCTGGACCTCAGAGGCCCCGGCCAATGATGGTCCCTTCCATTGGTCAGTTGGCCTGATTGGTACATTTCTGTTCTTTACAAGTACAGAGTGAATTCTTAGTCCTTAATGTATTGCATATGTGTGTTTGTGTTTATATATTTGTGTGTGTGTATATATTTATTATATGAAAGTATAGTATTAAAAGCTAAAATAGAGAAAACTCTCAATAATTCATGGTAGTATAAGATAGGAAGAGTAATCCAATTTAATCTAAGAAGTGTAATTTAATTTCCAACTGTATATCAAGCATAGTGTTGGGTACTGAAGATACAGAGACAAAAATAAAGTCTTTGACCCTTAGGCATTAACCTTCTGAGGGAATGCAACATGAAAACGGATTAAGTATAAGTATATACATAATAACTTGAGGGGGAAGAGGGCATTGATGCCCAGAGGAACCAGGAAAGGCTTGCTAAGGGAAGTGACCCTTTTGTACTAGCTTTTAATTCAATATCCAGTTTTTTTTTTAACAGAGCTACTATTCAGCACCCATATGTGACCACCCTGAATTTCTCTTTTTCTCCTATCCATGGCTCATCCTAGAATGGGCACTGCTCAGAAATTGACAGTAAGAGGAAAGAAAAGCAAGAGATGTTGAAATCCCCAAAATGGGATCTCAGTCCTTGGATCACTGAGAGTTAATATGAAAAGGGGGGTAGGGGGCAATTGATTAAGTGAACCTAGAAGAATGGTACAGTTGAGAACTAAAAGCGATGACTGGGAGAAGACATGTTGAAATGTTAGTTGATAAAATTTAGAACCGAGATGAAGAGAATGACTTCTAAGGCATGGATACAGGAATCTGAAATTGGTGCTCCCCTCCATTCACCCACCTAGCCATCCTTCCATTCATTTATCATCATCCAACTTTCAGTTTCCATTCTCTTAACTACTTTTTGGAATTCAGCAAGTTGAGCCAATGTTGGCCTTTCATTTGTTGCACTGGATCCATTAGATTTTAAAAACAGCCTGTGGGCAAATGTCAGAGGACACATTGGAGCAGTTTCACTTTTCTGTTGTTGGAATGAATCAGGATCAGACAGAAGTTTGTTCTAGAAAAAAAGGAAAGAAAAGAAAGGAAAAACAAAAGAAAGAAAGAAAAGAAAGAAATTCCAAAAAGTATCATGCACAAGATAATGGAACCCAATTACTGAGCGAAGTTTTTTTTTTTTTTTAAGCATGCACAAACACACACTTGTGCATGCACAATATACACACACACACACACATATTGGCACAACCTCTCTCACATTCAAAGAAAACTGAAACCATAGCTGGCTTGCAAATAGACTTCAAAGTTAAAAATAAAGAAAAGAACCAGAAACAAATGCCCTGTTTCTCTAACAAACAGTTCAGAGAAATGACACCATTTGGGAATCTGATGTTGGGCTACCAATGAGATGCTACCCCTAAAGGCTAATGAGGCAATGAGTTCCCTTCCCAGGTTTTCCTGTCACTTGTGCAGGTATAACAGAACTCCCCCCATTACTCTAAAAAAGCTCAGTATAACTGGACTTGACTGCCTCATTCTAGTTTTTGAGATTTTTGAGATTTGAGATTTCTGTCAGCATAATTCTGATGGAATATTGGGAGAATTTTTTTTAAAAGCACAGTAGTGTTTTAAGTGATATGAAAAGTCCCAGGCAATCCCTGTCCTTTAAAACATCTTTAGCAATCACAAGCATTGAAAATCAACTTGAACAAACAGAACTTGGTGAGGTTCCTAACTTGTTCCATAATGGTTTATAAAATACTCATAATTTCAACAAGCTTCACTTGTCAAATCTACATTCATTCTGTATGTAGCTCTGTAGGCTACAAATTTTGATTTGTTTTTGAGAGAGATTAGATTTAGCATCATTACTCGAAGGTTTGCCTTCCTTCTATTAATGAAGAAGGCAGGAAACAAAGCAAGAGAGAGTGGGCAAGAAAAAAGGAAAGCAATAAAGGGGGAAATGAAAGAAGAAAATTAGGAAACCAGGCA